TGTTTGCGCTGGCTGCTAAGCAACATCAGTGGAGGGGCGGGACCGGGACAACAGTGAACACAAACAGCTCGACTGAACGGGTTCGCATTTTGCCAGTTCTGTTCCTATTTCGTGTTTTCTGTGCCATGTTGGATCCAGTCAGAGGATCAAGTCCATTTTTATTTCTTAACTGCAGACAATCAAATAATAAATGAAGTGTCAAATTAATTCATCCATACTCAGGATTAAAAGTTTAATAAAGAAACATAAAATGAACAGTTAAAATGACTTCTAATATTTCTATGTAAAATACAATTAGCACACTCTGAGTATAATATTCTTGCCTAAAGATAAGTTGTTTGAGAGAAATCTCTGTGAAAAGAAAGAGCAGTCAGGATTTGGTTATGTTTCATGCCTGTCATGTGATCCCCTGTTCACGTCACGTGATCCTGCATGTGTTCCCTCGTCTTTTGTGTGTGTTTTTAATTTTTAATATTTTTTTTTATTCAATGCCACAAGAACAGAGGTATCACATATTCACAATATTACATTAACTGCCAGAAATTTTTTTTTTAATAATAATAATAATATTTTTTACATAAAATCTAGTGTTTTCAAAGCATTACATGTTTTCATTGCTTTTTTGTTTTTAGTTTGTTCCAAAAGATGTACATATAATTTAAAGTCATTTATTAAATGTGGAAAATTTGGTTTACCTTGAGCCCACTTCTTTTTATGTATATGGTATTTTCCTAATAAAATAAATAGCTGTATAATATGCTGTTCTTTACATTCTAAATTGTCTTTCTGAGTATAAAAAAGCACATCAAAAACACAAATTTCCATCATACACTTCAGTTGTCTATTAATAAAGGTTTCAAAATCTTTCCAAAACAATCTTGAGTAAATGCAGTGAAAAAACAGATGCAAAATTGTTTCTTTCTCTAGTGCACAAAATTCACAAGTATACGAAATATTAAGATTAAATCTTTCCAAAACATGCTTAGCAGGATAAATTCTGTGAAGTATTTTGTAAGACACTTCCTTAATTTTGTTATTGACACAAAACTTATTTGGTAATTTCCATGCTTTAACCCAAGAGATATCACCAAATAAAGAAGACCCAAAGAATCTTGCTGCAGGAAAAGACACCGAGCCAAGAGCTTTCCTTATAATCATATTGCTACATTTTTGTTGTAAAACATCAACATTATCAATGAAAATTTTACCACAAATATTGTCCATGTTGATTTCCACTGAATCAGCGTTTTTTAAGAGTAAAATCACATTATTTGGAATCGCGTCAAGAACAATAGCAAACTCTCTTGGTTTAACTGGTAATTTAAATTTTTTTAGAAATTCAGTATATGATAACAAATATCCATTGGAATTAACCAATTGTCTTACTAATATAATCCCTTCATTGAACCAAGTGTGATAGAATAGTGATTTGTTTTTAAAAAGTATGTCTTTGTTATTCCATATGAAATAGTTGTGTGGTGAAAAATTGTGTTTAGGGACTGTTCGTTATTTATTTAAGGGGCCACCGGAGGAGATTTGAGATCTGTAGTCAAAATAGACTTGACCCTCCCTTCGCCAGCAATAATTTTTTATATGACCCTCCAAAATGATTGTGAAAAAAGGCATGACCCTCCCCGATAATTTATTGATTAGGCTACTTTTCTGGTTTGCGCTTGGCAAAGATGTTCAGATAGCCATTCCATGATAAACAACTAAACTCCTGCTTTCTCATCTTGCTGTAATGATACACCAAACCTACAATTCGGTTCGTATCACAATTTTTGATTTGGAAAAAAAAAATCATGTTTTCGGGGCTGATGCAGTGGTGACGCGTTCATGTAAAATGTAAGGGTGGCGCTGCCAATACAGTATCTTAAAGCTGCCACAAAGAACCAGCAAAAGTAACGATTATGAATAATAAGGGGACATTTTAATTGTTTATTAATAAACAAGTCTTTGTCAGTGTCGGTTGCAAATATAAAGGTGACGATGCTGACTCGCGATCTTCGCAATAGTGAAAGCGCCAGAGAAATGCACATTTCGGATTACATAAGCAGAGAGCAGTCTGTCTGTTTTCTTTCGTTTTGAATTGTTCTGTTAAAAAGTAGACATGTCAAGCTTTCTATATATTTATCAGATCTGTGAGGCAAGTAGCCTACTACAGCCTATGATGTTTCGGTTAATTTATTTGACAAGAGTCCAGTTCACACGCAGGCGCCTCCGTGTCATGATGATTTTCTACTATTTACTTCTTATATATTAAATCCAGACAATTTGTTGATGAAACATTGATTAAAATTAAGATACAATTTATACAAAACGAAATTCACTTTAAAGAAAGGCTTTCTACAAAACAACACTTAATGAAGTGGTCAAAATCATGTCTGGCCATGTCTCCCGATATATTGCGTAGGCTATACTTTTCATAATTAACATAGATGGAAAAAAACATTATAATATGAAAATGCGCTTATTATGGCTACAACACATATACAGACTCTATTTGTACAAATTGCTGCACATTTATTAAATTCTGAATTTTGCACACAAGTTGAAAGGCATTTGTTTGTGCATATCAAACATATCTGCAACATTTATCAAGTTCACTGATAATTGTGCATGCATTTATTAATCATTATGATACTAAAATCATAATAAAGTAGTAGGCTAGGCTTCCCTTTCAATAGTCCAAATTCGTGGTGGCGCTGCCATTTTCGTCTTTCTTCTGTGGATTTCTTCAGCTCCTGGTTGGTCAAATTCAGATAGATCGACACATCGGCTCATTCAACCGCACAGCGCACACACCTCACGAATTCAAGCCTACAGCTCCCGAACTTTTTAGACATGTTTAAAAATTATCGTGAGGTCGAGAGGTTCGGCTCGGCTCGTATCTTCCAAGCACACGACATGAGCCGCAACATGCGAGCAAGGCCGTAACCAGGGTTTGAAAATTAGTGAGGTCCGGGGTGTTGTGTAAAGAATTTTGCTATAATAATGGTTTGGCCATTGGACCCACATTTCCCAATGGACATTAAGCTGTGACCCTTTTTTTTAATGGAATTTGGCATATATATATATATATATATATATATATATATATATATATATACAGGGGTTAAATTTGGATTTAATTATGTGTGGGGTAGTCTCTCACTAGGGGGGTCCGAGGGTTTGCCCCCCCGGGATTTTTTTTGTGAAAAATAAACCAAAATGGCACTTTCTGGAGAGTTTTGTGCAAAGAAAAAGTAGGTCTAGCAAGTGCAACGCAATCTCACGACCAATTCGTCCGAATTTGACGAGTGATTAAAAGATGGCTAATTCGTACGAATTCGTACGACCTCATTCGTACGAATTTGTACGATTTGTCTAAACCCACGTGATGGGTAGGTTTAGGGGCGGGGTCAGGGTCATTCGTACGAATTCATACGAATTGGGCAACTCGTCAAATATGTACGTTTTAGCAAAAATCGTACTAATTCGTACGAGTGAGGTCGTACGAACTGTTACGAATTAGCCATCTTTTAATCACTCGTCAAATTCGGACGAAATTCACACAGATCAAACACAAATATGCTGACTGAATAGATTGCTAGTTGAGAAACACTGCTTTAATTAATGTTTTTATGATGGCTTTGTGAAAGGTTAACTAAACAGCATGAGCCGTCTTCCAGCTGGCCAGTAAGTTATTTGGCAAATTTCATTCTGTAGGCTAACATACAGATCTGTTTTATGCTATTGTTTTTGATAGTGTTATACATTTCTTACAGATAATCGATTGTCATTGCGTTTGTCTTACCGAATGTGGTAGCTTTATGCAATTACAGTTTGTCTATAAGCTTCTTTTTTTTTAAATGTATTAATGCCGACAGTTAAATGTTGCCAGATATTGCTACGAAAAACAAGCAAAACAAAATAATAATAATAATCCGAAATAAGTTCAAAGCTTGTGTTTTGGAAATAAGGTTAATATATCACTAAACCTTTCCACATTAATAACTTCCTAAAGTGTCACATTAAATCAGAAAAACAGGTGACTACTGCCACCTTTCTATTAGGTGGATCTGGCAACACGGAGGCTGCACCCGCGTTCACAACGCGCTCTCAAGCCCCGTTCAGTTCACTGCGCCAGCTTCTCGCAGCAACATGAATTGCAAACACTCATATGAGGTGGTTTAAACACTGCTAATTAATCATTCAGAGAGCTTGACATTTTATTTTTGAATGTAAAAAAAATGACCGAGGTCCGGACCTCGGTGACCTCATAGCTGGCTACGGCCATGCATGCGAGCACAACCGATTTCCACGCGATTTCTCCCGAGTGAAAAAAAATCATCTGCGAGCTCGTAAAACAGCAAAAAAAAAAAAAAAAAAATCGAACCGTGTAAGCCCGCCTTGGAGTATGAATATATAAACAGGCGTTTCAGTATTAAATGCATTTTCTGAGAATTTATATTTCATGTTTTGACAGCAAATGTGACATCCCTAACGCTGGAATTGCCCAATTTTAAAGAATTTATCCTCAATAGTTTTTTTGGTGTAGACCTATTTTATTATGTTAACTTCAAATAATACTAATAGTAATTTAAAAATGTGGTAGCCCTATGTCCAACACATCACACTCCACTGTTATGGGGGCAATTTCAGTAGATTTGCTCACTAACATTGTTGTGGAAACACAATAAGAATGGAAACTGAAATATGGTATCGTGCTACAGCGCACATATCAGCTGCAGTTCTGGCGCCTCAGTCCCAATACTGTAAAACTCGACGTACATTCACATCACATGTTAGCGGTAGAGTTACACTCACAGGACACTGCACTTATTCGCAATCCCAAAAGTTCATTATTTGCTCGTGCTTTAAAGCTTTGCCGGGTAAACCATTACTTTGGCGTTCTGTTCTAATACACTTTTTCTGAGCGCGTACTGAAGTGCGCGCGCACTGTCAAACAGCGCCAAACTAGATTTTTGTTGGGTCAGACCATAGATAGCGATGGGGGG